GGGGTGGGTGAGGGGGTTCAGCTGGCCAAAAGCGGGGGGTTTTGCAGCCTCCCCCATTACTCATCAGAGTGCCCAACCGGCTGCAACCCTCCCCGCCCAACTCCCGGCTGGCTGCAACCCCCCCCGGCTCCACCTGCTCCACCAGTCTGAGTTCACCAGCCGTGCCTGGTGCTCACTCAAGTGTGGAGCAGTCACACCTTAGGGCTAAAAACCTTCTCTGACTGCCCCCGTCCTGCATAGCGGTGACTTGACACTAGAGGACTGATGAGCACAGCCCAGAGTAGAAGCTATAACGAGGGGTCTACTTAATCTGCAGTTTCACAGTTTTCACGGAAACAGTGAAAAACTGTGTTGTCTGCAATCGCCAGGAAATATTGGACTGGCTGAATTTTCCCACAAAATCAAGCTAAAAAAAAGAGTGTTATTCATATAATACGCTGTTTTAGACTGTCCCAATGCTTACTGCAAAATAAAGACAATGTGACAATCACTGCAGCCAACCATAGATCACGTGTTTTTGAGTTACTGTCTGCTAGAGACATAGATGCTTATCTGCCAGCCAGTGGCAAGGGGTGGGGGCACCAGAAAATGTCCACAGAATCAGATCTTTGTGCTGCAACCAAGCCACAAAAATGGCTTTGTCTTGCTAGAGTTAAGCAGACCCCTAGATATAATTGTTAGGTGCACCTAGAGAGCTGGTGACCCAGGACAGGCTTCTATCCCCGCTCTAGGTGGAGGGGTATGAGGGTTCAGGGGGGTCAGGAACATGAAGCTGGGAGGCAGAGAGTTAATGGGATGGGGATGGGTAACGAAATGGGAGGTGGAAAGGAAATGGGAGTGGGGGTTGAGTGATGAAATGAAGGAAGTCAGCCATTGAAGTATAAAATAAAATGAAGCAAAAAGAAAATAACACCCCAAACCCCACTTCTGGACCTGTCCGCGCCCTGAGACCTAGCTAGCTGGCGTGTGCTCCGCAGGCTGTTTCCAAGGGGTTGCACCCCTGGGGGTGGGAACGTCATACCCCAGGGAGTGAAAGGGCTTGGTGCCAGAACCACCTCCTAGGCAATATTGTTCAAGGGGGTGGAAAGTTTGCCCACCCATTACAGGAAGGTGGTGGAAGGAGACACTGCATCCTGGGATGCTGGAGGATGGCAACTTGGGGGCAGCTCATCTGTGAGGAGTGGCCGCACATTCATGGAACACAAGCTGCGTAACACGGATCAGAGATAAACCTGCCCTGGAGTGGCGTAACTTTGAGCCGCCTTAAGTGTGCTTAAAACTAGTTTCAGGTGTCAATGTGTGGACAATCCAGGGATTAAGAAACCAGGAACCACCTAAAAGTAACATGTAACAAGGCTCTGGGACTGATGGTAAAATCAGTGGGCAGCCAGGGGCTGCAGGGGGGTGCTCCCTAGTGTCATTTATAGATTTCATAGATTTCATAGACAGGGCTAGAAGGGACCTCAGAGGATCATCGAGTCCAGCCCCCTGCCCCAGGGGCAGGAAGTCAGCTTAGAAGGCATAATGCTTGGCATTGCCAGTATAGTTAGGCAATGCCACACGCCAGCTAATTTAATGGGCCCCTGAAATGCTGCAATTGGACTGTCTTTACCTCCTTTATGGTAGAACTGCCTGGTCTCCCTTCTCAAGCTGGGAGCGCACCACAACTAGGGATTAAAACAACCACAGGGTTTTTTCCCTCCCCGCTACTGCAGCTGCATGTGAGAATACCATCCTGATTCATATTTTCAAAGAAAGATCTTTTTTCCCCTTCATTTATAAAACAAGGTGCGTCTTATTCCTGGGTGAGTGGTATGTGAGAAAATACGGTAATTTCACACCAAGCAATAATGTCTGAACACCCGGTCCAGCTAACAGCTGGCTGTTGGCCTTTCCATGAATCCTGTTAACAGGGTAAGCCCTTGCTATTTAGGGACCAGCTGCCTCCTATTACAAAGAGCCCAGAAGGAGCAGGAGATGGGGTAGGATGGGATGAAGCTAGAGGCTCTCAGGTGCTGCTGGTCCCGCGCAGGTCAGACTGGCTAGAGTGGGTGTCTGAGCACTGGATGACTGCAGTCACTTGTGCACTCTGGCATCTCTCAACAATGCAGAAAAAATTAAGTAAAAGCCTTTCCAGCCAATGGTCAGGATAATAAACAGCTCCTGCCACTTGGTGTAGGACGGTGGTGGTGATTCCCAATGAGCTGTAGAGCTCCAAGGCAGTAACTTTTTCTAAAGAGTGAATAATGTCTCAGGAAAACAGCCTTCCCTCTGGCTATCCTTGGGACCAAGCCTGAGTCAGAGGCACACGGAAGGTGTTGGATCCTGACCTTCCAAATATATGAAGTCAAATAGATGCCACTTAAATAGACAAGATGAACCTCAACCAACGTTTTCTGTGGAAAGTGGTTTTCTGCACAATAAAACGTTTAAAACCCAAAGATACACCAGTGGGATGTTGTACCGGAATTGGGAAAAGGAAGTTTCCCTGTGCCCTACTCATATCCCGGGTTGGAAAACTTCACCTGAGGCTTCAGTTGGAGCCCCTTTACCATCACCAGTGTTGCCAACTCTCATGATTGTTGGCATTGCTCTTAAAGTCTACACTTCGGGAACGTGAAAAACTGAGCTCTTTCTTTTTATATATATTATATATAAATACCCAATGAATGTTGTCTGCCATAAATATAAAAGTATATATATCTTATATCTTATATAATATAAATATATATATCTTTTATATATATGTGTGTGTGTGTATATGTATGTATGTATGTTTTTCACATTCCCAAAGCATAAACTTTAAGACCAACGCCAGCAATCATGGGAGTTGGCAATGCTGCATCACCTTGCAAACTACTGCCCATAAAAGCATAGAGACGTAGGGCTGGAAGGGACCTCCATCTAGTCCAACCCCTGCCTGAGGCAGGATCAGCCCTTTGCAAACCTATACAAATCTATTTTCTAACCTCTTAGCAAAACTACACAGGCAACCCTGGCACAACACAAGACATAGCACCCAAACCTGCCACAAGTAAAGGAAGGGGACCGTGGTGACCAATGTCCCGCTGCTGCAAACGTTATTAAAATATGCTCAGGGGATCCAAAGAAGGAGGCCATGCCCCCACCCCATGGCTACAGATGGAAAAAAAAACAAACCAAAGTCTATGCCAGTCTGACGATAAAGTGAAATTCCTCTTGACCCCAAATGTGGCATTGGTCTGACACTGAGAGGAAGGGCAAGACCCTCGAGTCGGGAACCTCTGGGTTTAAGTCCCAGCAGGAGCACTGGCACAGCCCATTCACCATCCCCTGCCTTGGTTGCAGCCAACACCCAATGCTTCTGGCAAAGGTGAAAAAACCCTGACATGCATAGGGACAAGATGGGAAAATAATTCCTTCCCAGCTCTCTGTGGTGGCCGGCAAAGCCCAGAAGCCTGGGAAATACACCATACCCCCCACTTCAGTGTTTCACTCCAGCCACAGCTGCATGTAGGAGCTGGATGAAATATCTTGCACTGCGCTGAAGCCAGGCATGGTTTTTTTTAACACTTGGAGGCCTCCTGAGTAAAAGGCATGAGGAACCTACTAAATATTAATAGTAATGCAGAGGGAAGATCCTGATTTCCTTCGCACGGGTGCAGTTGTACATCTGTTACACTGAGCTAAGCGAGATCAGCAAGAGCCGTGGTATACAGCCAGAATGCAGGATGTGAAAATACATTTCTGGCCCCATCTGCCCTCCGAAAACCACGTGAAACCGGCAGCAGAGCAAAGGGGATCGTCCATCAGGCAAAAAGGCCTTTAAAACATTTTTTAATTTAAAAAAAAAAAAAAAAGCTAGAAGTTCTTCTCTAGCAAAAGCAGCGGCTAAAAAGAAAGCAAGCCCAGCTCCCAACTGTTAGCGACCTGAATTTGCTTCTAGGCGGTCACACGTGCAACGCGAAAGCTGTATGGTGTTGAGAGAGCTCCCAAATAAAGTGGTGAATGGAGAAAGCCCATAAACCGACTCATCCGTGGCAGGAAAGGTCTGATTTACATCTCATCCCTCCTGCTCCCAAGCACAGTAGGAAGCCCCATTTCTTCTGTAAGGTACAGTTTTTTCCTCCCTCCGCGAGAGACGCTTTCTTAATGTCACATAAAACGACTCTCTCGGGGCCACGCCAGGGAACAGAGCAATGCAATGATGTCTCAGGTGCAAAGACACGGCGAACAATAAAAATCCCTCGAACGCTTGGCTTTTTAAACGACGTCATGATGGAACGGTCATTTGTAATGCTCCAGTTAAAGTTGCTCCAGGCACCTCCGTCATAAAGCCTTGAATATGAGGAGGGGTTATATTGCTGTAAATATTGTCCCCGCTCTCTGTTTCTATTTTGTAGGCCATTTTTTCAATGGGCTTGGATTTCCTTCACGTTGGAGGATCGTGGGATGCCTCCACATTTAGACAGCTTGTCTGCTTTTCAATCCAGCCACGGGGCGTGGGGGGGGATTGTCAAGAGTACATCTTTGGTTGCAACTTCCACCCGAATCCACTTTTCCAGTTGCTCACCTTGCACTGACAAATTAAGTCCTTCCAGGTGCAAATTTTGCACAGTTTGTAATAGCTGGTTGGGGCGATGCTTCTAAGAAAATCTACCCAAAATCTGCTGTGCTGTTCTTTGGTCCTGTATCCATGTGTTCGCAGACACGTGTTTGCACGGGTAACTCAGCAGCGGCTGAATACGGGAACGCCCGCCTTGGCCTGTTTTACACAGCTCACTGAGATTTAAGAAGCAGGTTGCGTTGGCGGAAAACCAGCTCGACAGGTCTTAAAGCTAAGATGGCCTAAAGGGAGTATTTCACGCATGGAAAAAAAAGACTTTTTCTATGCATATTTTTGGGGGCTGATCTAATCCAGCCTAGGCTCTTGAATAAATCAACATCTCTGAACTGATATTGGAGACAAAAGTTTTACCCAGTGTTTTAACAAAACAATATTCATCAGTGTATTTCTGGCCATGGACTGGAATGACCTGTTCAGGTCTGAGCTAGGCCAGCTCTTCAACCTAGCTGCCACTGCTTCTCCCCGCCACCTCCCCGCAGTGCTGCATGCGCGGGTCCAGAGGCGAGCAACAAAAATGATAGAGGGCTCGGAAGGCAAGTCATACGGGGAGAGGTTGAAGGAGCTGGTCACGTTCGTCTTGCAGAAGGGACTTGACAGCAGTCTTCAAATACTTGAAGGGCCTGCCATAAAGAAGATGGAAAACACCTTTTCTCTCTTGCTGCAGAGAATTGGCCGCAGACCCATGGCTTGAAGTTGCAACAAGGCTGGTTTAGATTGGATATCAGGAAAAGCGTTAGAGCGGTGAGGCAGTAAAATAAATGGCTAGGGAAGTTATAGAGACGCTATCATTGGAGGTGTTCAAGAAGAGATGGAAGAGCCATTGGCCAAGGAAGACCTAGGCCTATTTTCTTCCATGGGTATTTATTTACCAAGCTTTGCTACTTGCTGCATGGGGCCAGGAGGGATTTTTTCCCCCCTGCCTGCTTTTACACGCATCAGGTTTTTAGCAGACAAGGTTTGTTGGGTAAATCCAGTATCTTTTCTTCGACCAACTCAAATAGTTGGAAAAATTCTTCTTTGCAAGCTTTTGGGTACAAATACCCTTTGTCAGGCTGAGGAAGCATCTGCAGTTGGTGTGTGCTCTTCCTGGAGGGAATGAATAGCAAAGAAGCCAGAGGCTGGTCTATGTACCGCTATTCCCTTGGCATAAGGAAGAATAATACAGTCTGGTTGTCCACTTAGTTTACTGGCAGGGTGCTGAGCCTCTTTGGATCATCTTATGGTCTGTGGTCACAAGGTCATTTACTCTATAGCCAGGTGATTAGCTGCTATAAAGTGCCTTTGACTTCAAAGCCACACATTGGAGAAGGACGCCTGGCTTCTCAGTCCTCAGTTCTGCCCGTGACGATCGATGCGGGCAGGTTGCCTGGGTCCTAGGAGGGGAGAGAGAAGGAGGGGAGATGGAGCACCCTTTTCTAGGCCAGGCAATCTCAGGGGTGCAATGAGAGTCTTAGGAGGGTGCATGTGTCCCCATAAGTCAACTATGGTTTAATCCAGTGGTGTTCGAATGCCAGCCCGCAGGTCAGATCGAGTCTATGGAGCTGTGTTATCTGGCCTGCACAACTGTCCACAGATGCCAGATTTTGGTAGTGGGGGGATGATGGCAATTAATAGTACCACGACCCCTCCAGCAACACATTTCCAACCTCTTCCGACACATGACATAGCCCCATGTGCTGGATCAGGCTGGCGGGTAGAGCCGAGGTTGAGGACCTGATCCAGAGTCCAGCAGAGAGCAACACAAATGCTTAGTGGGGGTCTACAAAACCTGATTCACAAGGCAAGGTTGGAAGAGCTGGGATTATTTAGTCTGGAGAAGAGGCGATGGCGGGAGGGATTGGATAACAGTCTTCCAACTCAAGAAGGGTTGTTGTAAGAAGCATGGCCATCAATGGCTCTCTTTATGCCCAAGACACGGGAGAAACAGGAATGGGTTTAACTTGCAACGAGTGGTGGCCATTGCAAAGAACCTCCTCCCTGAGGGTGGCTTAGCCCTGGAAGAGACCATGGGGGTTGTGGCATCTTCATCTTTGGAAAGCCATGAGTGTGGATTAAACAAATATACATCTAGAGCTGGTGTAGACTGGGATGATCCCGTCTTGAGCAGGAGGTTGGACTCGATGACCTCCTGAAGGCCCTTCCAGCCTTATTTTTTCCATGATTATGCCCCATCCCACCAGTTGCAGCTGCCCCAGCCAGGTACGAGAACCATCATCGAAAACTATCCTTGTCTGAACCATCCTAGGCTGGTGTCCTAGCAAGAAGCAAGAGGCGGGTGGGTCAAGCTGCTAGGAGGGAGAAGGTAGGGCACAGCTTATAGACGTGGGCAATAATCGGCAGCCCCATTAGTGGTCTGTCTCCTACCCCCATTTTTAACCTCACATCCCTAAGGGTTAAGTAGTGCTCCTGTGTGATTAAGCCAACAGCTCTCAACCTTTTTAGACTCCAGGCACCCCTGGATAGACTCGTGGCCACCCTTGGAAAATGCCAGCTCTTTGTTTTCACTCTTTTTTGACTACAGAAAAATAATAGAGCCATTCTTCTGGTGCAAAGGACTCAGAAAGACTATGGAGGTTTGAATGTTTTTAACACTGTTTCTCTGGGTTTACCTTGTGAATCATGTTTGTATACCTAACCTTGCTAGCGTTACGTGGCACCCTTGGAAGACACTCACCCTGGTTCACATCCCCGGGGCTAAGCAGATGATCTGGTGCTCTCTAGCAAAGGGAGCTTGTTGGTGAGTGCCAATGCTGTATCGTTAAGTCCTAATTGTACTGTTTGGATTCAGGCAGTTTTCCCAATGGGAGATTTGTCTGAGCAAGGATTGCTGGGCTGGGCTGGTCCTTTGTAAAGGACTTGAGAGACATTTGGGGATGCCAGTCCACAGGACATATATATTTAGGATCATAGGAAAGCTGGGTTGGGAGGGACCTCACAAAAGTCATCTAGTGCAGCCCCCTGCTCAGGGCAGGGTCAGCCCTGACCAAACCATCCCAGCCACGTGTCTGTCCAACCTACTCTTGAACATTTCCAAGGATGGAGATTGCACAGTTTCTCTAGGCAGCCAACGTTTGACCCATAATCAGAAAGTTGCTCCTAATGGGCTGCATTGGTAGGAGCGGTGTCAGCAGATGGAGGGCAGTGATTCTTCCCCTCTATTCAGCACTGGGGAGGCCACATCTGGAGTCCAGTGTCCAGCTGTGGGCCCCACGACAGAAAGGATGTGGACACATTGGAGGGAATCCAGCCGAGAGTAGTGAAAATGGTTTGGGGACTTGGGCATATGGCTTGTGAGGAGAGGCCGAGGGACCTGGGCTTACTTAGTTTGCAGAAGAGAAGACCGAGGGGGATTAAATAGCAGCCTTCACCTCCCTGCAGGGGGGCTGCAAAGAGGATGGAGCTGGCCTGTTCCCAGTGGGGGCAGATGGCAGGATGATGTAGTTGGGGCTGGTCCTGCCTGGAGCAGGGGGTTGGACTAGATGTGTCCTCTCGAGGTCCCTTCCACCCCCATTTTCTCTGATTCTCTATGAGTCTAATCTCCATCCTAAATTTCCCCTGCTGCAGCTGAGGCCGTTGCTCCTAGTCCTGACCCCTCCAGAGAATGGCCCATCTCCATCCTCTCTACAATCACCCTTTAGGTATCTGAAGGCTGTTATGACATCACCTTGCAGTCTCCTCTTCTCCAGGTTAGATAACCCTAGCTCTTTCAGATATTTAGGGAATGGCCGGTTTGCTTTAGGGTCCGGAAAGGAGGAGACGCGGCTGCATTGCCTTGCTCTCAGGGGGTGGGAATTCACTGCCGTGACACGCTCTCTGGTTCTCTTGCAGAAGGCATGATGGAAGCTGTCAGCTCCGGCAGGGATTGCCTGCAAGCTGGGGAGTCCTGCACCAACGACCCCAGCTGCAGCTCCAAGTTTCGGACCCTCCGGCAATGCATCGCGGGCAACGGCGCCAACAAACTGGGTCCGGATGCCAAGAACCAGTGCCGCAGCACGGTGACGGCCCTCCTGTCCAGCCAGCTGTACGGCTGCAAGTGCAAGCGGGGCATGAAGAAGGAGAAGCACTGTCTGAGTGTCTACTGGAGCATCCACCACACCCTGATGGAAGGTCAGTCAGCCCTGCGGCACAAGGGGAAGGAGTTCCCCTTTCTGTTCTTAGAAAGGATCTCAGTGATGGTGGGATCCACCAGCTCCCCGGCTCTCTAGCAACAAAACAGGCTTCCCCCACCTTGCAGACAGGTCATGCCCAAACTTTGGCCTCTCTTCTGAGAAGTTCACATGGTTTCCAGTCAATGCTGGCCGGGTGTTCATTCTGGGTGGACACAGGGGCCTGCCAACATCTGGATGGAGACCATCAACCCTGTCCTCCCAGCAGGCTTCTCTGACTGGCATGGATTTGAAGCAATGGCCCAGTTGTGAAGGGTTTGGAAGTCCGTCGCCCATCCTGCAGCCACTCGGTCTCATTGCTAATTAACTCCAGGAGGGTTTTAGTGAAGGTGAATCATAATAGCTGCAAGCAGGCCTGGGTACATGCTTTTTTGGATGGGGTGAACCTGGGGTAGGTCCTCAAAGCTGTTCTTCAGGTAGATCACCTCGACTACTGCATCCCCAATAGCTTTGGTCCAATCCTGCGTGCCCCTCTATTAGTATTATGATAGCACTCATAGTAGAGAACCCAGCCCTGGCCTTTGGTATAGACGGTCCCTGCTCCAAGTAGCGTATAGTCTGCATTGTAATGGCTCAGCTGGGAGCTCACTGGAGAAGACACTTGGGATCAGGCTGGCAAATAATCTCATCTTCATCCTCACCCTCCCTCCAGCTGAGGGACAGAAGGCAGAAATGTTATTAAGGGACTTGCCAAAGGCTACAGTGAGAATCAGTAGCAGAGCAGGGGTGGCAGACTGCAGCTTATACAGTAGCACAGCAAAGCTGAGTTTGTGCTTCTGGCAATGGAGGGGAGGAGGGGGAAGAAGGGGGAGAAAAGGAGCCAAAGTAGAGGAGTTATTCAGTGAATAAAGCAGAGAGCAGGGAGTGCAGAAACTGCAGGTCACAGGTTAGGTCCAGAAGGGACCATTTTGATCCCCTACCCTGACTGCCTGCAAAAGGCAAGGCAGAGACCATCTCCCATTCCTTCCTGTGTCCGGCAGAGAAGGTTTGGGAGAGCAGAAGCAATATTTTATTCTTTTGGAAAAACACCCGCAATCTTGAACCAAGCCCCGCAATGACAGAGCATCCGCAATATCCCTCGGTAATCCTTTCCGATGGGCAATGACCAAAAAGTGCAATTTGTCTCCAGCCTGCATTTCTCCAGCTTCAGCTTTTCAAGGCAGGAGCTCATTGTGCCTCTGCCTGCTATATTAAACATCGCTCTGCTATCATAAATCTCCTTCCCGTGTGAGTCTTCATAGTTTCATAGTAGTTAGGGATCAGAAGGGACCTGAATAGATCATCTAGTCTGACCCCCTGCCACTGGTTGGAGCACACGCTGGGATCACACGACCCCAGACAGGTGTTCATCCAACCTCTTTTTGAATTTACCCAAGGTAGGAACGACGACCACTTCCCTAGGAAGTTGGTTCCAGATCCTAGCTACCCTGACAGTGAAATATTGCCTCCTGATCTCTAACCTGAACCTATTCTCCAGCAGCGTCTGGCCATGGTACCTCGTCACCCCAGGTAGTGCTGGGGGGAATAGGACCCTTCCTATTTGCTGCTGATCTCCCCTGATGAGCTTGTAGGCAGCCACCAGGTCCCCCCTCAGCCTCCTCTTGCTGAGGCTGAACAGGTTCAGGTCCCTCAGTCTCTCCTTGTAGGGCCTGTCCTGCTGCCCTCTCACCAAGTGAGTGGCCTCCTCTGAACCCTCTCCAGGCTGGACACATCCCTCCTGAAGTGCAGCACCCAGAACTGGACACAGTACTCCAGTTGAGGCTGGACCAATGTTGCATAGAGGGGGAGGATCACCTCTCTGGACCGGCTTGAGATGCACCTTTGGATGCACGACAAGGTGCGGTTGGCTTTGCTGGCTGCGGTCTGGCATTGGCAGCTCATGTTCATCTTGGAGTCAATAATGACTCCAAGATCCCTTTCCGTCTCTGTGCTTTCAAGGGGGGAGCTCCCCAGCCTGTATATGTGCTGTGGATCCCTTCTCCCCAGGTGCAGCACCCTGCATTTGTCTGCGTTGAATCCCATCCTATTACCATCCGCCCACTTCTGTAGTCTGTCTAAATCTAGTTGCAGCCTCTCTCGTCCTTCAAGTGTGTCCACCTCGCCCCACATCTTGGTGTCATCAGCAAACTTGGACAATATGCTTTCCACCCCCTCGTCCAAGTCGCTGATGAAGATGTTGAACAGTGTAGGCCCCAGGACCGAGCCCTGGGGTCCCCACTGCTCACATCCTGCCAGGTCGAGTATGACCCGTCCACCACTGCTCTCTGGGTGTGCCCCATCAGCCAATTTTTGACCCATCCAACTGTGCAGGCGTCAATGCCGCAGTCACTCAATTTATTAATTAGAGTGGAGTGAGAGACAGTGTCAAAGGCCTTCTTAAAGTCCAGAAAGACTACGTCTATGGCGACACCATCATCCAAGGATTTAGTTACCTGGTCATAAAAGGCCATCAAGTTGGTCTGGCAGGACGTGCCTTTGATGAACTCATGCTGATTTGCCCCTGGGCATGATCTCCCCTGCAGGCCCCTCACAGATGTGCTCCTTGATAATTTTTTCTAGGATTTTCCCCAAGACCGATGTGAGGCTTATGGGCCTATAGTTTCCTGGGTCCTCCTTTCTCCCTTTCTTATAAATGGGGACCACATTAGCTAGTTTCCAATCTCTGGGCACCAGGCCCGTGGACCATGATTGCTCGTACAGCCGGGCCAAGGGCACAGCAATGACCCCCGCCAGCTCTCTCAACACCCGTGGGTGGAGGGCATCAGGGCCCGCAGATTTAAAAACATCCAGCCCTTCCAGAAGATCCCTAACTACTTCTGCGCAGACCCGAGGCCTGGCAGTGCTATCCCCAAGATTGCCCCTACCTGCGGTGGGAGAGATGTCCTGGTCCACATCACTTCCTCGTGTGGTGTCGGGGACAGAAGCTGGCATGCTGGCCCCACGGGCCCACTAAATTTGGGCAGGCTTCTTTGGCATGCCTACACCAGGTTGGTAAGCCCTGCTTGCATGCTCCTAGCCTTGCCATATGCCAATGAAGATGCTCCATGATCATCTCCAGCAGCCACTTTCAAGGGACTGAGGTCTTGCAGGATCTCTAAGTTTATCTTCACTGGCTTATTCCAGTTTGGAGGGAGGGGGGGGATCATTGGGAGCTGGTCCCCAGTCAGGTTATAGATTCATAGAAAATTCGGGTTGGAAGGGAGCTCAGGAGGTCACATCTAGTCCAACCCCCTGCTCCAAGCAGGACCAGCCCCAACTACATCATCCCAACCAAGGCTTTGTCTAGCCAGGGCTTAAAAACCTCCAAGAATAGAGACTTCACCACATCGCTGGATAACCTGTTCCAGTGTTTTACTACCCTCCATATGATAAAGTCTGTCCTAATATCCAACCTCAACTTCCCTTGCTGCAGCTTGAGCCCATTGCTCCTTCTGTCATCTGCCCCATTGAGATCAGCCCAGCTCCATCCTCTTTGCAGCCCCCCTTGTCATGCTGCTGTTAATACGTAGGCCTGGTCTTTGACCTCACCGGTGGCGCTGATCACCTTTGTGATTGCTCTTGAGACCCTGAGCTGGGGAAAGGCAGTTTTGTTTTTGAAATAAAAATGAGTTCAACCAATTCTTTAAATACTTTGTATTTTCAAAGGCTGCCTTGAAAACAATAAGAGGATGCGATGGACGATAAGCCACGCTGCTGTTGCTTCCTGCCGGGCCGTGTCCACGGGCTTAGGGAAGATTAGGGGTCACGCTGTCTCAGACCGGATTTCATTCCTACACTATGCTATTATTTAATAAATTATGATTTTATAGGTTTAAGAGTCATCATAAAGGGGGGCCTGGGTGGCGATAACTCTCCCCTGTCAGAGCTGCGAGTATTTTATGCACCATTAAAATTAACCTGGGAATAAAATGGAAGCTTCCAGCTGTAGGAGGAAGAAAGGTGAATAAAATCCTAACGTGGGGCTGGGTAAGGGGGCAAGATCTCAGGGACCAAGCATAGCAAAGTGGATGGGGAGGGTGCCATCCACACCAACTAGCTGTAAGAAGTACGGGGGCGATTCCCCTGGACCATGAGGTCACCTCCTAGGATGTGATGCTGCGGGGTTCTGGTACTAACATGAAGTCATTTAGGGAAATAAGGGACCTCAGCACTACACAGGATCAGCCTTTTTCCTTGATGGGTCATGGGTTGAGTTTACTTGCAATGAAATCCCCAAAGTAAGGTCTTGACACAGAAATTTGCAACCCAGATCCCATTCCTCAGACCCCCAGCGATCTCCGTGGGTCACAACTTTGAGTCCTGCAGGTCACCTTGGACTCCCAAGACCAAGACAGGGGGGAGTACAGGCAACTTGAAGGCAACTGTGCATCTTAGCTGTGCTAACAAATGCACCGCATGTCCCATCCATCAGCTGGATGCAGGGGAGCTGGTGGCAGCCTAGCTGGTCCTTTTCTGGCTTCCTGAAGACATGAAACTGCAAAGTATCTCCAGTCTTGGGTGCCGAGGGCTGAAGTGCCAGAGGAAAAAAGCCAGTTTGACCCACGTTGGTCTTTTGTAGAGCAGGAGAGCAGTAGCAGCAACACAGGAACCCAAAATACAGCTAGATTGGAGAAATGCTGGAAAGAGAGATGCAGACCCAGGTGTCTGGGTCCCCAGGACAGGGGGATTGGTGTGCATCAGCAGGGCTGTGCTGGGGACCAGAGCAGGAATATCTACAGGACCGCGGATCAGGTATAAGATGCTGTGCAAAACTCAGGCGCTGCAGGACTGGCATAGCAGGGGCTGCAGGGCATTGGCAGAGCTGTATGGATGCCCCAGGTGGAGGGATGCAGAGCAGGGTCGGGCAGAGCTGCTCAGGGCCAGGAGCAGCAGGAGGCTGCAGGTCAAGACTGAGAGACACAGAGGAGCCAGGTCTAGAAAGAGGCTTGCAAGTGTGGCCTTGCTCCTCCGAGCCGCCACTTTGCTCTCTCATCATTTGCATCCTCCCAAGCCTTTGATTTCCCTGCTCTCATTTCCTTTGGGACGCATCTTTTGTGACACTTCTATAGTTAACCGTGCTCACTAATGTCTAATTGACTGAGAAAGGAGCCAGTCTGAAAGGGACTACCGCAGGCTCATCTCTCATTCACAAGCAGCCAGGAGGCCGTAAAAGCTTCCTCGAAGCCTTTATACAAATCAATCGCAGACGCGTGCCCCTGGGGACTTTACAAAGCACAGTATTTACTCTGCTCCTGTTGAGCAAGTCTGTGTTTAGACACCCGAACACCTGGGAGGGACCTGATTCAAACACAACCTGAGACGGAGCCGCATCATCCGAATGTAAAAATGCTACGCTGCGACCTATTACGGCCCCCCCTGCAATCAGTGGCAACGCCAGGTATTTCAGACGAGGGTATGGCAATGCACCTGCAATACATGTAAAAAGCTGCGTGTCATGGGAGCAATTTCTTCCTGACCACAGCTGGCAATCGGCACATGCCCCGAAGCATCAAGCTTGATCGCCCTTTTATCCCAGCGAGCGCTGCCACGGCTACTGTCCTTAACCATATAAATGTCTGCTCCCCCGGCGCTTGGGGGGGTTTTTTGCATGGAAAACTTATGGAGCTGTTTGCCTCAATAATATCCAGTGGTATCAGGAACCGGGATGGAGCGTTATAGTCCTTGGCATGGAGGAAAGAGGAACGCTGATTGAATAAAATGAGCTTTCCAGCATCCTTGAAATCCATACAGGGAGGCTTCTGCAGGGCTGTCTGTCATTAGCTCATTGCTCAGCTACCAAAAGACAGGCAGCCTGCAATGGGAGAAGATGCAAGGCTAATAAATATGATGGTATATTCATGCGCCCCAGTGAGATGGACATAACCGGCAGAGGCCAAGGAAGGGCTGTCTAGAGAGGAGCGTGTCTGGGTGGAAAAACACGCATCTGGGTGGAAAGCCAACAGTTCCTGTCGCCAAAGGATGTGGGCTTTGTTCACAGGCAAGAGCTCCTATTAAATCAGGCTTCTTTGCTGACAGATCCAGCAGAGAGGACTGGCTGGTCCTTTCGTCTGTGGAGATCTCTCCCGCCCTAAGTTGTAGAGCATTTTTCGGGGTTTAATATCCAACTTCCTCTTTGGGGCCGCACACCAGGATTTGGTAGAGTAGAGCTGCCAGTTGGCATTATAGATACCCAGTATTTCTCTAGGGAAAACGGCCTCTATCTATGAACATGCCACGATGAGGCATCTTGGATGCATCATGGAAAAGCAGATGATGGCTCTGCTGGGACATGTGCAGCCCAGGATGCATCTTGGGGGCGAGGATGATCTTCCCCGCCTCCAGCTAAACTTCTCTCCCTCCCATTGTAGGCATGAACGTGTTGGAGAGTTCGCCGTACGAGCCGTTCGTGCGAGGCTTTGACTACGTTCGGCTGGCGTCCATCACTGCAGGTATGTGTGTGGGAGCATGGTCCAGGGATGGGTGTGGGATGTCAGCTTGATCTCGGCCTACTCCACTTTCAGCCTTCACACCTTGAGGCATGGCTCACCGCTGCATCGGCAGTGCTGGGAAGGTGCCTGTGGCTCCATGATGAGAGCTTGATACGGGGGGCAGGTGTTAAGGCACGTCCCATCTTTGCCCATGGGTGTTTTGTGCCCATGCCCTAACTAGTGAGACGTGAGAGTGGAGAGGATAGCGTGACGACACTAAGGGGGACATCGGGACGCATCTAGGAGGACACCTCCTGCCTGCCCCACCTGTCTGCGAGCCAGACTTTGCCCACCCCTGACCTAGGACCAGACTTGAGTTGTGCAAAGGGTGTTTCAGGAGCTGGGGTAGCCGTGAATGGAGAAGTTATGGTGCTTACTAGGTAGGGGAAGGGACACCCAGGGCTGTGAGTCAGGCAACGTGGGTCCTGTCATAGAGGAGAGACACCATCCTGAATGAAAAGAGGATCCCTGCTGAGATTGCTCCTGGGCGAACGCAGCCCGTGCTGCCTACAGTAATTACACACGTGCTCCTTCAGTCTCACCCGCTGCTTCGTGGGTTTTTATCTCCAGCTCTGCTCCACACTTCTCCTCTTCATGCCTCAGTTGGCTTGTCTGCAAAATGGGAATAATGATGCATGGATGTACCTCCTGGAAGCAATGAGGACACAGCACACTCAGGGTCTCAGAGGGAAAGTCCCATATGGCCACATGGTCATAACAGCAGTTCCCTGAAAGTTCAGGGCCAGCGAGGCACCATTAGTCCATATAATCTGACCTCTGGGATAGCACAGGCCGTTATGTTTCACATATTATGTCCAAAACCTCTAGTTTGTTATAAGTAGCATAAAGTTACTTAGTAACTAGTTTAGGTGTAAACTATCCTCTAGTTTGTCTTGGGTAGAGAAGAAAGGCGGAGGTGGTACCAAAGCCCTATAATGGGGAGGATGAAGTGAGAGAGACCCAGAGGCTCTCAGCAAATGAACCATGCCGCACAGGTGACAACCACCACAGGTCCCCTGGGAGAAGTCCCTTCCCAACCCCAAATCCAGAGAGCAGTGAGTAAGACATACCAGCCTACATGTGAGAATAGTCCTCATCCTACCTCAGACCACCGGTCCACGCCATCCCGTGTCCTGCTGTCAGCTCCAACCAATCTCTGAGGAAGGCTGAATGAAAAAAAAAGTAATAATAACACATCCAGTCAATTGTGCATTCGAGTAAAAAATTCCTTCCTAACCCTCGCAGGCAAATGGCTGATTTAATTATAATCATTGTCTTAATGCCAAGCTGCAAGAATCACAAGCGTATGGAGAGCAATGCAGGCCCGCAGAGAGGGGGGTGAACGGGGACGCTCACTAATTCCCGGTGCCCAGAAGCACAAACTGCTTAAATGGCCATGAAAAAGGGACTGCCAGCAAACCATGGGTGCATTTTATGATATAAATAGAGGTATGCTGCAAAGAGGCAGGTGCGTTTCCTCAGAACGTGGGTCTTCCATGCCCCGCACCTGGGTTTTCTTCATTCACGCGGTTGTCCCATGCATGACTTAACGCATTGGGCATAAATCTGAAGAAGAGAACGTGATTAAATAGCCCCAGCTCTGACAGTGCAGAGGCACTTTGGCTGATGGGTGTGAAGAAAGCCTGTCGTGGTTATAGGCTTGACTGCGTTTTGTTCCCCATCTGTTCTTCCGGAGAGCAGCCACCGCGGCTCTCAACCGCTTGCCTTAACTGGTTTGGGGATGGAGGGTCCTAATTCCTTCACCTGGATGGGAACGGAGGTATCTTACCCTGCACATTCCCGCTATCTCCCTGCAGGACTGACTGGACACGTCTACATGTGTATTTACACCGGTTTAAATTTACTGTGGAGTAAATTACTGCACAGTGAGCAGGAATAGGCCAGCATCTACACACAAGGGTGTTAAAGCGCATTAACGCTGTGTGTGGACTGACTAAAGTTAGTCCCAAGTCAGTCCACACACACACAGCATTACTGCGCAGTAGGGCCGTGTGAAATTGTGCCGGGTGTTTCGTTTTGAAGCTGTTTCAACGCATTTTGAGCTTGAAACAGCGAAATCAAAATGAAATGAAAGACTTCAAAACAGCTTCGAAACAAATTGAGAGCGCTCGAAATGTTTTGAAACTTTTGAAATGTTTCGAGTTTCGAAGCCGGGCTTGCTTGCAGCTAAACAGCGACTAAGGAGAGGGAGGAGGAACTGCTCTGATATTGACATCTAGCTCCTGGTTCAATTCCCCAGCTCCCTGATTGCTTCCCCGCTCTCTGATCATTTCCCCAGCTCTTCCCAGTGGGTGCAGGCCCCCGGATGATGTGGGATGACAGCAGGCTGCCACTGCCAGCTGGTGACAGCGGCAGCTCTGGGCTATTTCCCCAGCTGGCAGCAGAAGCCTGCTGAAACCCCACGTGCAGATCTGGGGGTCCGCACCCACCGCGAGGACTGCAGGGCTGTGCCAGACTCCTCCCGGGGGGGGGCACAGGCCCCCAGATCTGCATGCGGGATGACAGCAGGTTGCCACTGCCAGCAAATGATACAAATTTTGCTTTGAACAATTTGAGGTGCAGTTTTCCAGAAACCCCTGAACTTCTCTCCTTGAAACCTGGCAGGCTTCATGCCCTCAGAAGGGACTAGCATCCCTGCAATTTTCATCGAATCAGACAAAAAATGACAACGTTATAGGCATTTTCATGATTCCCCATTATAGCCTATGGGCAAAACGTCAAAATGCGTTGAAACAGTGTTGAAACAGCGAAACAATTTTGACAAAATCATATGGAACTGTGCTTTGAAACAGTGAAACGAAACACCGTCCCTTCAAAATGGCAAAATGGAAGTTGAAACAAAACGGTGCCGTTTCGCACCGCCCTACCGTGCAGAAAGGCGTCTACACGTGTGTTACTACGCAGTAACTAATTGGCATAAAATTGATACCTGCATGATGCAGGTATCAAATTTACACTCAAGTCGGCATAAGCCACCATATCTACTGCAGAGTTCGGGCGTGCACGTGTAGACGCACACTCATACTGTGCAGCGATTTCAGTTACTCCGCAGTAAATGCGCATGTGTAGACATGCCCACTGGTTGGCTTCCTTCTGGGAACTGGTGAGTGATGGTATAGTGAGCAGCTGCCTGAGTTAGCAGCTGGAACAAAGGCTCAGAGAAAGAGGAATTTAAATCAGCAAACAGCCCTAATCCCACACTTCTGCACAAGTCTTGCCTCTGAAGCGACAATGCAGAACCCATATACATCCTCCTCGCCCACCCAGCTCCCCTTGGTCTTTCTGCATCTGAGCCACCTCCAGGAGAGCAAGCTGCCTGAGCATGCGCTGCACCAGGGGTTTTTTCTGTGGGTTCTTTTGACTCCCGGATCCCCAGGCATCAAAACAAAATGTGGGCAAAATAAAATGAAGCAACGCACGCTCGGCCAGCATGCACTGCTGAAAAGCAGAGCCAGGCCACCCAGAGCTGTGCTTTGCTGCCAGCCAGGCTCCATGCAGCAGAATAGACATGGATGCAGTCCCAGGACCCCAGGTAAGTCAGTGCTGGCCTCAGCCCCCCCCTACCCAACCCAGGGCAACTTGCTGCATGCCAAAGTGCACGTGGCCTTGGTGTTCCCCAGGGACGAGAAGCGGTAGAGCAAGGTGCACTGGCGCTGCTTGTCCCCAGGGGACCAAATGTCCATGCACATCTGGGATGCACCCAGATGTTTCGAATTGGAATCCATAGTGTTAAAAACCCTGTTGCGATCTCTCTTTGCCCATTGCAACAGAATTGCTCTGGTATTCTTCTGCAGTCAAAAAACAAGTGAGATCCAGGAGCTGGCATTTTCCGAGGGGGGCCTCGAGTCCAAAGAGGGGTGCATTGAATGTAAAAAGGTTGAGTTGAGTGCCTTAAAGTGAAACGTCCACCGGATTCCCCAGCACAGCCACCTCATACTAGTGACAGATCCCAGTACAGCATTAATAGTCATTCAAGAGCACGCAGAGTCACAGGGGCTGGTTACCTAGGAAGGAAGTTGAGAAACCTCACACCTCGGCCAGAACAAGGTTTGATTTCACTCTCTGCTCTCGCTCCCAAAGCACACAGAGATTTAGGATGTCTCACATCCACTTCCCTGCTGGTGTCAGGGGTCACGTCACACCCAATGAGACTCGAACCTTAGACCCTATATCATTAATCACCATTAACAGTGATTTACCAGCATGCTGCAGGGCAAGCTAGCATGACAAGAGCATACCCCGAGAGCCCTTCTGCAGCAACGTGGGGGTCTTGCACACTAAGAAGTGAAAGAATAGCCTTTCATCTCAGCCTGCCTGCTTTTTATTATAAAACTGCCTGCTCTGGAGACACTTAATGCATCACATGTGCTGCCCTCCCCCAGGGTAGGGATTTATGTGCTGTGTGATTGCTGCCTATCAAGCAGAGCATGGAGTGGGGGGGGACTGGGAGTGATGGATGTGCCGATAAAGTTG